ATTTGCTTGTTTTCAGGTATTATCGCTATTTTCGCAAAAAAAAATTTTTTTTATTTTGTGATGATCGCACCATTTTGCAGTTTCAAGTAATTTCCACGTGACACAGACAGAGCAGATGCCGAGAGAAGATTCATTGTTCATGAAGTCTTTGCACCGGTGATTTTACAGACAGCGATCTAAAGTATATAAAAAATAATAGATTTTTGTATGCATTAAATAATTGTTTTTGGATCCATCAAACCACAGAAAACGTATATTCGATTCTATTTCCCGTGGAAGAAAAGCAGATTTTTCTGTTTACACACATCTATTGGCATCCGAAATAGATACATTTCTTCAAAGAAATTAATTTTATGGATTGCGATTTTAGTAAAAGTTGAAAATGAAATGAAGGTGCGTGATTTCGATGGATGGTGTCACGGAAATTATTAATGATTTGATCGGACACTGAACGAGTAACACAAGCAGGCACGGGAACAAGAGCATGGGAGGCAAGAGCAGACATAGTTAATACTGATAATAATAATAGAATAATTAGTAAGCGTTACTAAAAATAGATTAATTAGTCCGTTCAAAAGATATAAAAGCAGCGCAAGTATCAGCTAGTGTCGTGTGTTTTGCAATGTTTAATTCATCTTTATTCCTTATATGGATTGTTAATAAACGAGTATCGCATTTACTCTGTGCATAAACATTTGATACCTTATTCTCTGACTTTCATTAAACCACTAATCCCTATATTAATATCGGATAAGAATAATGGCTACTTATTCAGTGATTATTCCCTGAAACATGTTTTTTACAGTAAAAACCCATTATACCCCAATCCGATAGATTGCCATTTAATCCACGGTAAGCTCACTCGAGGACGAATTAATTATCGAGGATTAATGTCTACACATCGACATTGAAGTCGCAAGTAGAAAGCCTGTATTAAAGGTTAACTAAAAGTAGGAGAATCACACTCGGATCGAATTAGCTAAATCCTTACGAGTTAATAGTCAACCGCTCTCCCGTGATTGTTGACTCGACAATACGGTTGACATATTGTCGGGCCAGTATGTCTGAGAGAGCAATACTAGCTGATGTGAACAGTAAGTCTGTCCTAGTAAGTTAGTTTTCTTCCTCAGTTAATGCGTTTACCCACTCACTTGCATTTACGCACTTGCTTAGATTGCACACACGTTGTCTCAATTATTCTCAAATCGACCGTTAGATTTAGAATAGCTATTCCGCAGTAATAATTCAGATGTACAGTATAAACAACAAATATTTTTCTGTATAGGATTTGGTCGAACGATGGAATGATACCTATGGATCGAATAAATACGATGGAAAACAACTAATAAACTTACGATTGGAAAATATTTCAACTGGCGTTCACTGTGATCTCTAATGGCAGTCTGGTAATCTCTAGCTTTTGGCATATACAGAACTTACAGCGCCAAGAGCTTAATCAGTTGTACGAACGTTCTCAGTAATACGATTATAGCCCTAACAACTACAACAATAATTCCCACCAATGCTCACTTGAAGATATGAAGCTACCAATTCCAATTACTTGTTTATTTAAAAGTAATAATCACAACCATTGTGTTTACGAGGACAAGTTACAAGGTGTCTGACATATTAACATTTATTCATAGTATAAATACTTAGTTGTGTCATACTCTGTCTGAATATGTATCATGCTCACACTTTCAAACATCAACGATGAACTTGATATGCAAAGAGAATCAAACTAATATCTGACATGTGCTGATTCGGAATAGACATCTGACATATGTCAGTTATGCCATAGCAATATTCAGTATTAGTATGCAGTGATTCCGTATGTTGATCAGATTGCTATTTCGGGAATATTACAAAAGCATTTAAATCTTAAAGCATAACAATAAACGAATTATATATGATGCAGTGCTTTTGGCATTATTTTACGGAATGAGCACTCTTACTTTTTAAATAGGCAATCGAAAATAATCACGCGCTTTTTTGTTCACCATATTAATATGATATTAAATTTCGATCTGCAAGATCGACACTTGCATCAAACAAGCGGTTTTATTACTATACAGGTATTATATTCTCTATACAAATAACTAATTCGGTATTAATTGTAAGAACAGATTTCATTGTTTTTGGAATGGATCTCGGAGATAACGCGCTGCCAGCGTGTGTACCAATAGCGTTGGTTTTCGCATTTTACTTGTGGAAACAAACTATATTACAAAATTAATTGATTATAAATATTATAATAATAAAGATAAAGTTTAACGGAACGGGTATTAGTATACTTTTTAAAGACATAAATGGTATAGAAATTGTGAGGTAAGCCATATTATAAAGCGGATTAAAATATCATAAATTCTAGTTATAAATAAATATTGCAATAGTCTTAGTCTTTAAACGTGAAAAAAGCAGGAACAGCATCAGGCGTCACATCACGTGGCATAACACCGATGGTCGTATCCGCACAGGCCATCAAGTTGTCTCGATCCACTATGCCAACTGCAATAGTGTATGTCGTAGGCGAATAGATCAGCTCTTTTGTTATTTTGAATGTGGTTCCAGCTGGCATTGGACATGCAATTCCAGGTATGGCGCAAAAACTCACATCATAAATTATGCGATTGTTATTATATTCCCTCAATCGAGTACTAAGCTCAGAACCTGGGGGAATAATTCGTGTCGATGTTCCGAATATAGTCAAGGTGGCAGGGCTCCCAGGCACAAGCGGGTCAGGTGAAAGTGTTACATTGAGTGAATCTGGACTGGAATTATAATACGAACATGGCCGAAACTCTGTTCTTTTACGAGTCTTATGTGGAATGGCATTAACCATGGAAATTGTAGCCAATAAAATGATTACAAAAATAAATGTCTGCTTCATATTTTTGTATTTAGTTTTTGACAAATTGCTGCTGGTGTTGCCTTTTTATACTATTCGAACCGACAATCGTTTCGCCTTTCATGATTGGAGAGAGTGTTTGCAATTTTAATACACAATGCGTTCGGATGTGTTCAAGTTTAGATCATCGGCGATTGAGAAACTGGGGAAATTACTTCGTACTACGGCTTATATTTGCGGAGAACACATTAAACAATGTCTTTCGAGTATGTTACAGTAATGGTAATTCTGACACTATTTGTTGACGATTGTGTTACATATTTCGCCGAGATCTTTACCACATTTGCGTGCTCCGCCATGCATTTCATGTGAATTTATACAAATTTGTAATCCATGCAAAGGAAAGCGCATGGACTTTTCTTGTGACAATGCAAATTAACCATGAAGCCTATTTTACTATCCGTACAACCACATCTCTTTGCATCAAGTCTACCGTTGAGCTGTTTCCAGCAATGGTAATGCTAAATAGAGACTTATTGACCTGATCGATTGCACAGGCTCCAGATTAACCATTTTAGCAAGTACTTATGTAGAGGTGTATCATTTATTGTTTACACCTGTTCATGCAGATGGTGCGTTTACAATTCATTCGCTCAGACGCTCGACAGATACAAAGTACAAGTGAATTATTAAATAGGTTATCAAACAAAGGGGCAAAAGGCGAACATATGGATATAGTATACTAACAAGATCTTTTGTTCTGCACACGCTGTCCCATGTGTTATAGAACATTGTCAGTCGAGCCCATCATTAGATCGATGCGAAACGAGCACGAGGTATCGTTATCCAAGTAATTTAGAGTCTATTCTTCCAAGATCCAAAGTTGTAAATATTTAACATACAGTATCTCCGAAACCATAAATATAAGGGAAAAACAATTGATATTTTTGTACGACGAATGCTATTGGATGACGAATTTATAAAAAAAATTTTGAATCACACCTTTTATTTTTACCACGACTGATACGAATCAACATGAATCAAGAAAGTAAGGAACAGAATTGACCGCGTTTGTTGGATCATCACAAAAACTTTGTCTTTAAATGGTTATTGTGCATTTTTCCATATTCGACAGTAAAACGTGTATACATTGGCGGACTATCCAAGAATGTGAATGAGCAAGATATCGCTAATCGATTACGTCCATTTGGATCGATAAGTAATGTGAACATAATCTATCAACAGGAGACTGGTAACTATGTTAACTAATTGTACTGATTTTTATTAATATCTTATTGTTTTTCCCAATCTTTGTAACAATTCCTATCGTTAAAGGTGAAAGTCGCGGCTTTGCATATGCTACAGTAAAAACGACTCCAACTCTGTGGAAAAAATGTAATTGAACGGACAAGCAAGTTTGTATTCTGTTCAGATTATCTTGTAATTTCGAAAAAAAGATCATAACAATAAACTCAATTTCACATCAGGCGTGTCGACACTCAATGGTACAATTTGGAAGGGTATGAAATTACGGATAGAGGATGCCAAGCCCGATTACAAAAAACGGTATCTTTATCGAGAAAATATTATAGTTGGGGGAATCTGCATTGACGCTGTCATTTTATTTACCCGTTTGTTTACTAACTAAAGTTTGCAGGATCAACGGGAGCAGGAACATAAACCGGCCGAGCCTCAGGTATCAGGCACACACACATCAAAGAAGAGAAAGCAAGATACGGTTACTTTGGCAGATGACATGAATTTGGTCACTGACAAGAACGCCGATGGACGTAAGGTTAGGACTCGAGCGTGAAAATGGGTTTACCGTCATTCATCTTGTCACCTGCGATCTAATATTATCATACCATTCAAGGGATGGAAAAAAGCACGATACGGAAGAGCAGTTGCTGTTATGCGGCTTCGCAAGGATGATGGAACAAAGGTGTTATGGGGGTGGTCACAATAATTCAATACGCGTGTGAAGATCCGTTATTTAGGTATCCGTTCTTACGTTTAGATCTCTTGTCTAGGTTGTGTTTAACCCGCAGCATTATCAAAATAATCTCAAACGGTTTACCGAACGCGATTTGGAACTATTAGAACAGATGCCGTCTGACGCATTGTCGTCTGAATCGCGTGCAGTCAATAATAAGAGTGACGGTAAGCGAACAATAATCAAAGCATATTTTATGCCAACACTTTTAACCGCTGATAGGTCATACCAATTATGCAGAAGTCAAAGATAATTCAACAATCAAAAATAACGTAATACAGAAGACTATATCTGCTATTCCTACTGTCACTCCCACTGTCACTCCCACTGTCACTCCTACGGCTACTGTTACTCCCGCTGCTGCGCCTGCTACTCCTACTGCCACTCCTACTGCCACTTCATCTGCCTCTGCGATTCCGCCAACGATAATAGATGGATTACAGAAATTGAAACTTATGAAGGAGAATAAAGACAACATGGCAAATCTAAAGATGGTCTCATCGCAATCACCATCAATAATAGACGGACTGAAACAATTGTCATTGGGTAAAGATAAAGAAAAAGATCAAAATACAAAGGCTAAGCAGGTAATGGAAACGGACGACCTTATCGCGAAGAATCTAGCCTCCACGCCTATGCCGGCTGTATCAAAAGACGTGCGGGCCGAGATAAATACGGATCTAAAGCAATTGTTTGGTCCGGCTGCGGTGAAACGTATGTTGGTCAAATATTTCTATTGATATTTATTTGTGTGGTTGTATTGAGTGTCTTATTTACGATCTCGTTGTGTTATAATAGCTAGTTCTGGATTCTCACTATTCAGAAATGACGATGAAAGCTCAGAAGACGATGACGAGGATGAGGATGGAGAAGAAGAGTATGAGAATATGGGTGAATCTACGGACCAGGATGATGATTCTGAAGATGAGAGTCCGATTAACGCGGTATCAAGTACCCACAAACAACCGGTATGTGTACATTATGTTACGAGAAATCGCTCTTTTCAAGAGCAGCCGCGTTAATAATATTCTACTACTTGTGACAGCAGAACCCGAAAAATAAAGCGATAGAAAGTCAGAGCATGATACCGGCAATGTCTGAATCGGCGCCGTTGTTCTTCTTTCATTTTGGAGACAAGTCACTGGAAAAGAGGTTGGTCAATTATGCCTAATACAGAAATTTTTGCCCTTTGTGATTCCAAGTCATTGAATTTTACTTCTTTGTCTAGATCCCATTACAGAGAGTCGAAGACATTTATGCGCACTGAATCCATGCAAGTATTACAAGCAAAAATTGTCATATTTCAGATGTACCTATACTAAAATTAGTCTTTGTGAACAGAGACGAAATAACAGCACAGTGGGAGGAATCACGGAAAGAATTGACAGCCGAGTTTAAGAGGAAACACAAGTCTGTGACAAAAAAGCTTTCTAAACTGAAGAAAAAAGGATGGTACACGGAAGGCAAGATACAGGATTAGTTCGAGGCGAAAGATGAGTGAAGAATTGCGACAAGTTGACAAAGGATTGCTGAACGAGATAATAGTCTAATTTCATGTTAATTACATGTTAATTATTAATATTCTATTTGCACGTCATTTCATTGTACATGATATGTCGCACATCAAGAGTCCGCGAGCTCTTTTACTAAGTAGTAGTTGTTTGTTATGCATCAATCACAGCCATTGTGTTAATCGCTTGTATTAATGTGTCCTCATCAGAAGTAGTAAATAATGTAGCAGGATATACTTTGCTGCCCCATTTGGGATGGAGAAGAATCTTGCAACAGTTGGCGTTTTGTGATTGATACTTGAGAAGCTGTTCTGCCCCGACTATTTCTGGATACCCCGAGGGACCGGGTGATGAATACATCTAACGGGGAGGGGGAGGTAAAGAATCATATAATACGTTATATACTGTGGAAGGACTTTGTACACACAATTGGATGAGCTGTACGTTATTGTAGTAGAATAGAATTACCGGATATCCTGATGCTGGGTCAACCAGATCGGCCCAATGACCACGAGCTTTCAAGTATTCGCAGATTGCCTTGCCCCATTCAATGAACTTGTGGGGGAAAAAGAAATGATGATGAATGCAGTGAAACTTTGGATCGGATAACTGGCAACGCAAATTAGATTCAACAGTCTATAATCAGGCAACATACATTTTCAAGTTTTTCATCCCTTTCTTTATCAACAACTTCACCAAAAGCTGCCAGATCATTGACACAGTTTTGAAATGTGGGGATAACCAGACATTTATCTAAATCTTTTACTTCGGGAAATACACTCTTCAAGTCTCTGGCATATCGACTCGATGCTATCGAGTGGATCGAATATTGAATGCTGAATTTTCTGTTCGATGAAAGTAGAAATGTCCCTTCTGTTGATGGCAAGAGTATCGTTGGTCGATTGTAGCGAGATTTCTTTTTTAATGTTTGAGTGGCTGTTAATTCGACCATTTTTTTTTTCATAAAAAAATATGTACACCATCGCGGAATATTTGCTTTTTATAAGGGATGTTTAATCACGTGGTAAACATGTGAGTAATACTGCTACGCTGATTTCTTCACAAAGAAAGTCTAGGCTGTCATGTCAGATTGTAAAAGTCTCGATCAAAATAATGTGTATCTGGAATGACGTTACGCGAATTACATAATTACGATTATAAATCTTAATCTGTCGTTCGCATGCTAATACTGTAATACGCATAATTGCTAAACTCACGTGATGTGAATTATGCAAGACAGTTTACGGTTTACAAACATGCAGGTCGTGCGTCTCATGCTTTGACTAAACAATACGTCACTGTCAAAGACAATGTCGTGTTACCGTAGGAAGAGATAATGCATGTCTTTAAATCGGATGTTGTCCGTGCTAACATTTCAGTAAGTAGCTAGTTCACAATACGGCCATGTCCAAATTCAGGTAGATCAAGAAGTACACATTCTCTGGACATGGATTCGTGGACCCGCAAACAGTAAGCATCACAACAACCAAATAATTCATCATAACGTAGCATAAATATTTTAATATAATAAACATGCATTTTCAACGATATCCTTTAGAAAAGAATATCAATGCTAAGAAATTTGATAATTCAAATATACAAATCTGCAAGACTAATGATAATTTATACATTTGTGAAGTTTACAAATTAAGTAATACTTAACAATCAATGATATCATAGTAATCTACCACTGATACTCTTCTGGAGGGATCCAACCATCTTCGTCTCTAATAACTATCTCACCCTTTTTGTTCTCGTCGCCTCCACTTTTCTCGCCGTCTTCTTCAGTTTGCTGACTTTTCTGATTTTCAGAAAAATCTTTCATAAGAGCCAGCGCATCTTCGACTTCCATACTTCCCCAATCAATAAAGCTCTCTTCGATCGCCAACTGCACCCCGGTATCCTCTTCTCGCTCATCGTCTTTTTCATCAGCATTCGACTTGGGATCTTTTCCGTTGCCGAGGCCACTCTCACTGTCACTGCAAGCAGTACTTGTACTTTTGTTGCTTTTCATGCCTTTCTGAATCTCTTGAAAGGCCATCATCAAATCTTTGTAATTTTTGCTGCTGTCATCGTTTTCGTCGTCGTTATCCCTTTCTGTTTGCTTATTCGCATTTGGCGGTTTCTGCTTTTGACGTTTAGATTTCTTGTGCGCTTGAGAACTTGACCCCGAAAACGAGTTTTGGCCCTGCTTATTGCTTGCAGTATTTTTTTCACCCTGTGAATCTGGAAGATCTGGTGAAGACGTCTCTTTTAGAGGAAATTGACTTAATTGCCATCCAAAGACTCTTTCCTGACGAGAGGACGCCTGAGACGAATGAGACGATGATCTGCTTTTGTGGACTTTATCCGATTCTCGTTGATGCGAACGAGAACGGTCATTGTCGAAATCTCCACTATGTTGTTCCTGAGAGGGTCTATGTTGTTCCTGAGAGGGTCTATATTTCGGGCCATTTGGGCCATTTGGGCCATTTTTATTATTATTATTGTTGTTATTCTTGAGGGTCTCGCAGTCTCTAATATGGTGACCTGGCTTTTTGCAGTAGTTACTAATAAACCACAAAATAGAAATAAGCTGGTGTCAATGCGATTATCTAATAAACCAAACAAACACGGTATTTCTATTGTATGTTGTATATGTGCGCACCAGCGTTTATTCGGACAGTCTTTTGCCACGTGTCCGGTTTTGGAACAATAGTGGCTGAAAAAGCAACAGAGCACGAGTGAGCGATCACACTTCTTATTAAATCATAAAGCATTTTAACGAGTATCATATAACAGGGTAATTGTTTCAATTTTGATCTAAGAGTTCTTACCAGGTTATTTCGTTTGACTTATTAGGACAGTCTTTGGATATATGACCGGGTTTCTTACAATAATAACTAATAGACATTGGAGTTAGTCAACATAACTCTAGTAATGGACTATTCTGAATTACAACGTGCCAACGTTACATACCATATCCGCTCGGAAGGCTCTTTCGGGGGGGCATTCTCATTTTTTTTACTAATGAAAGTTTAAAGACGCACATCAGCAAATAAGTCAAATAAATACTAATAATCGACGCGTAGTATCCATACCGATAACCATCCTGCCTATTATTGTTGCCACGTTTTTCTAATGGAGCGATACAACTCACGTCAATCAGTAACTTTCCATCAAAACGATTAAACATTTCAATATTTGCAGCAACTTAAGATATCTCACCCCCGGCCCAATCTTCGCTCATAACATTGTCCGTCCATATATTGTTTTTGTTACGTTCGTTTGGTTTGGAAGTAGAATTCCGACCAAAATTTGTCCGATTTCGGCCACCCAAATCTGGAGTCCCCCAATTATCAGCGTCTGGAGCTGGCCGGTTCGCTGGACCACGACTGTCACCAGTATCTGAAGTTGACCAGTTCGGAGGGCTCCAATTCACCGTCTCGTCGATTGACCAATTTGGGGGGCTCCAACCACCAACGCCCGGAGCCGGCCGATTATTTGTCGAGCCCCAACCATCAGCGTTTGGAGCTGACTTATTCGTAGATTTCCAATCATCAGAGACTGAAATTGACTGGCTGTTACTAGAACTACTATCAGCATTCGGAGCTGACTTGTTAGTCTTCTGCTGACTCCAACCATGAGTAGCTGAAGACGCTTTATTCGTAGATTGAGCTGAATTATCGTTATTTGGAGCTATTGGCGTAAAAGTAATGTCTGGAATATCGCTCTTGATAAGGTCCCCAGCTTCTCGTTTTTCTTTGACATTTGTTTTCGAATCATTTCTTGCCTAAAAAATCCCCCAAATTGATTAACATTCTGATAAACAAGTGAGAACTTTCTTGAACACACCAACTTTTATCGACATACTTCAGCTCCATTCGCCTCCGCCTGATCTGCCGTACGTGAATCTTCATCAAACGATATATCCTCCTGATGAGTAAATTCCGTCTCTTGTTTATATGCAGAGTTCATCTTGCCGGGTTTAACGACCAAATCCGGTGACACGTCATCAGGAGATTTCTGTTCATGACAACGACAACAGTATGTACTTATGTGGATATGCATGTCTGTTACACATCCTTGACACAGTCTGTAATATAGTTCATTACGAACAGTTTTAATTATATAATACTTTTTTATATTTGGATCAAATGTAAATCCAATAGTGATCCAAACGTTGGTGTTAAGAATGTCCGGATAGTCGACACATAACTAGCGTAATTAATTGATCGATTAATAACGCGCACCCAGGTATAAATATCCCATACGTCTTCGTATCTCACCTTGTAATAAAATAAACCATCTGCTTTATCCGGCACCTCGAACGGAATCAGTTCCACCCTCTCGTGGATAACTGCATCGCCATATAATTTTTCGTCAAAGCGCTCAAGCTTGCTATCAAATTCTATCCAGGTGAATGGGATCCATTCCAAGTAGGCTTCATTTGCAGACTTTGTTTGCTTTTGTGATTTTTTAAGAAATTTGTCAAGTCTCTTATCATTGGCGGCCAATCCTCTTAACTCTTTCTGGCCACATATACACCATACTGCGCTACACCTGAGTATCTTACACACGGTACAGTATCCATAAACCCAAAAAGACTTTTGAGCTACTAGATAGTAAGTGTTCTCGTGTTTTGTAAACCCTGTTATCCATTTATTGCGATTCTTGAGTAATGATGGATATCTTCGGAACTTGTTGATGTTGGGCAGATTTATATGCTTAGACGTCGGTATTGAATGGATCTTGGAAAATGTTGCCATAAACTCTGGAGTCAACTTGTCCTGCGTTCCAAGTGGAAACAAGGCTTCCGTCACTTTCTTGTCGTTCACATTTCGTGTGGCATATAGGACGCTTTTAGACGCTTGTGGTGTGACTGTAAATTCTGACCCATCGATCCATTGAATGTGTGCTGTCGATGGTTCTTCTTTACTATCATTGATCAATTGGTCGATTACAGAACACCCTGAGAGGGACTTTGTAAACACTTTAGAAAGTTTTTGGAAGAATGCCATCAATGTATCCAAAAATTATCATCGTTTGCAAATATAAGGGTTTTGGCGTAACGTTGAACGATCCAATAACCATTGACATCCAAAATTGGTCTGAGAAATAAGTGGAATTGACGGATTTGGGTGTTGCGATAATCTAAAGCTGAACATTCAAACTTGTAATGGATGTGCCATAAACTGTAATCCACATTTTGTTTCGCAACATTTGGTTGTTTGACTGGGGATTATTGTAAAGAAGCACACAATTTTGAGCACGACAATGGTAGGCGTTACCATCACGGTTGTTGTTATTATTATTATGTCTTTTTGAGTCGAGATTGGCTCACCTTGATGGCAATACTTATGATACAGACCTTAAATTTGCACTGCTGGGCATTGGAAGCATCATGATTCGGCGAAAGATTCATCTCAAAACATAATGCTGCTTAGATTGTAATCAACCAATTTTATAGATTTCATATTGTCTCAACCATGAGTTTAATCAGTGAAAAATTCTTTTAAAAATGTCGAATCTTTAACTTTATTAAAATTTACAATTGTGTTGTTATACAGTATAAAAGTTTGCTTTTTGACATCACGTGTTATTTACAGATAATCTTTGGTTCCGCCTAAGATGATTGGAGGAGTTCCATCTAGTCTTATTTCACATCAATTTCTTCACAAGTTTTCCCAGAGTGATACGGATACATGTCGGTTCGTTAAAAAAATTGTGTACTTCCATAGCCGAGGACCTGTTTGGCGTTGTGTTTTTTCTTTTGGTGAAAATTTGGCCCATGTTATTGCCAAGTCATTTCGAAAATGTTGCCGCCCCGTATGGAAACTTTATGGATGCCGTTACGTTCACGCTTCTTTTGAACTCGGCAACGAGCATGTTTTGGCATCGTATTTTGTTGCCGAGTTCTGCGTGTTTTTTTTTTTTTTAAAAAAAAAATAAAATTGTGTTTATAAATTTAAATATTTTTGTACAATTTTACGTCGAGGATTAAAAAAAATTTTTTTTTGATAATATTAGAAAGCTTGATAAACATGATAATAATAATTGTTTTGGAGGTCAAGTAAATACTTGTAACTTGACCTCAGTCATGTTGAAAGTTGAAAATTTTGAAGAAACCCCTTGGGGTTGATATGCTATATATATATAAAAGATTTCTCGGCGTAACCCATGTGTGTTTATTATTATTTACATTGTGTCGTTATCAACGGATCAGAATGCTATTGTTTGCTGCATCTTATTTACCTTTCTAATGAATCTTGCATTAATACTTTGTCAAAGAACACGAAATGTGGCTGGCTGAAAGTTCTTTGTATTGCTGGCGATCAATTGTTATTTGCTCTTTGCTCCGAATGAGTTCATTATGTAAAAATGAGCAACAAGAAAAAGAACAACAAGAAAAAAAACGTGCATATCACTGATGAAAACGATATGCTGGTGGTAAATTAAATGCATTCCCACTCGGAGTTTACTTGGGAGTTTGCATTCATCGTTAGTTGCACGCACAAATGAATGCTAAAGGTGCATCGGAGTTTACCTGGGTGCATTCCGTATTGCATTCCGTATTGCATTCCGAGATTCTGTGTTCGAATTCCCTCATCTAGAAAGAGCGACAGAAACGCATATAATTGTATAATTGCTATTATAAAAATCGAAAGCGTTTACTATCGGAGAGATCTTGTATTTGCAATGATTGATATTCTTCTCTTATCTTGCATGAAGAATTCTCTTTTCAATGCTCACACGCCAATATTCCTTTGTGAAACAATTATATATTGTCCCGATAAACAAACAGGAGAGTCCTTCAATGCAATTCATAGTAGCTGAGTGTATTGTTGAGAACTAAACTCCGAAATACATTTTTTATTATGCCAAGAGATTATTTCTAGTAACCCGTATTGATGACTTAATAGTTGGTTGAACCAATTCGCAGGTTGCGTTTGCTTGCGTGTTTTACAATGTGCCTAATCTGTACTAGTTCTTCGTTTGTATTTGTCTTAGCCATTATACAAGGAATGAGTTCTCTCTATGCACGTTTCCAAGTTTGTAACCAAGGTAACCTCTTGTGCTTACTGTATAATTCTGATAAGACTCTTTATACAACGTTTGCACAAATACAGCAAAGGTTTCAATGCCAATGCTCGTTGTTTATGATATTATTATTTATGCATGTCGTGTAATCACATAAGAAATTTTTCTAGGGAATCGGATGCCTACTCTTTTGGGTCATTTGACAGATATTTGACATAATAGGGGTTCTCCATCTAATTCAGCGCCAACACTCTATCCGAAAAAGCTTGTGCATCATGCATCGCATTACCAGAACAGGGTAACAAGACAACAGGGGCACTCTCGCTTCAATTAATAATGTATTAGCATGTAACGGTTGCACCTAACCCGATTGCTATTCGTTTTATTTTCTATCACCATTTAGTGAATAGTTCCCAAGTAACTCAAGTCTCTTGCTCTAATGACCATATTATATTGATGTATCTCAATCCTGGCCTTGTTAATATCTTCTTTTTTCTAATATCAGTTTTCTCCATCGGTGATGTATAGTCCACGACCTGCAATTATCCTAGTCTCTTTATTCTACACGATAACAATACATCGGACATTTGTATTATTAATTTCTGCAACCTCCTTCACTCATGCGTCTACAGTAAGACTTAATACAACTCGCGAATATGGCATATTAATCAATGAGGTATTACACTTGTGGAAGCAAGGACTGAATGAAACTCCTCTTTCTACTGCAATATCAATACTCAGACGGAGCATGCTGCAACAAACAAGACAAAATGAGCATTTTCGGGTTTCGAAACTGCTGAATTGTCGGCATCATATTTTGTTCTTTATCGCCTCCATTCTCGGTTTATTTAGGGGTCATCATTTGAAAAATAGACATAACCAAGCCGTAGCTTATGAGTCTTAACTTTGCCGATTAATCAACAACTTGAACTACAGATATCAATGAGTCAAAGAATGCACCATTATACGAGTTTTTGCATGAGGTGAAGAAATACTCGGATTCAAAGCCCATTAGTAAGTCAAAAACATGTCTGGTTGCTGTGATATAAATCGTTATACCACGTAGCGTAGTGATAATGGTCTCTAATGCAGTACACGTATCAGATATGTAGATAGAATTAATAAATTTATTTTATAATTTGAAATGTAGTTCTGATTACAGGGATATCTGCTAAGACTAATTTCAATATACATTTATAATCTGCATGGAAAGGCGAAAATAGGACGGAATTTAATTTATCGCTTAATTCGCGCGCTAGTCTGTTTTCGATGTGATGTCAATGAACCCTAACATTAGACCAGTATTAGAACGCATACTTGGTTATTAGACTTATAGGGCAACATTCAGTCGATGGTCCAACAATGGACTTACTAATTAATAGTTGACTTACGAATTTGTTTATTGGTAGAAGAATAATTTACGTTGAGAATTTGAGTGGGTGTGCTAATTCAAGCCATAAAAGCAGACTGGCTACGTCAATTCAACCAGACATTCTCGTATTAATTATTAAGTAACGATAGTCCAGAAATGACAAATAATGCGGAGTAACGGATAGTACTCGAATATCCAAAGTGACGCGACTTATTGATAAGAAAAATGGTGTAAGAACGCTTAAGCAGACATACCAAACTAATAAATTTGTATATCGCCTTTAATATTCAGCGAGTTGAGGAATAGATTATTGTCTGAAAAAGCAGATAAAAGATAGTTTTTTGTTAAGAAGACAAAGATTCATAAGCTGTCACGTTCTAAAAAATATTGTCAATCTATAACGTAAAATCTTCGTATGAAACCTGGAAGATAGACATCAGGATCGATTGCAATAAATATTGTGCTACAGCAACACAGCATTTACATTTTTACTAATAAGAAACATACCAAGCGCGAACTGATTCAATGTCCGAGAGATTTCCAAATTTGGAGATTACTGTTCAAATTTCTTATGACAATCATCACGTGTTAAACTACAGCGAATTCACTTCGTATGATGCTGCTGAATCACAAATGTGCTACCGCAGTTATGATTAACGAAATAATAATTTCCCCTTTTACAATATCAATGGTTATCCATCGCGGCACTTTTTATACACTACTGTAAACACGCGATATTATACCATTCGTTGCTAGGTGATTTCTGACATTTTCAAGTAAGTGCGACCAGTTCCTAACATATTGAGATACACTGACAAAGTGGCATATTGTGATCTCAGTAATAATAGTAAAACTTATTTCTCCATCGTCCATTGCTTTCTGTAAACTTTTTTCAACAACCACAATTTCAAAAAGTGAATTCTTTTTTGTATTCAATGGAATAATTATAATTATTTTTATATACACTTGGTTCTATATGGGCAGACTGAACATTTGACTATGTGAGCTAAAAATGGCAAGTGATTGATGATATTTTAACAAGACTTCGACATAGAGGACAGCTTTTTTATTGTAGTAAACATCTTCTGTAGCTGCCAACAAAGATCTTATAAAATCGAAATGTTTGGTGACTATTATTGATACTTTTTTACGGACATAGCTTGCATGTACTATCTATTATGAGTTTGTTGCTGCGGTAGACGAAAATGAGGAACAATGGATGTACTACATCAAAAATTTTTTTGATGTAGTACATCATGCTTAAAATGTTTATTTTGTTCTATATCAAGTGAATTAACTTCTATTGCGTTGTAGGTGTAGTTGTCCTGCAGGCACTATTCATCGGTGTTTTCCTTACGCGGCTTTTTGATCGGTGTTGCTGGAGCCTTTCCAAAACATCCGCCAATTGCATTTTTATCCACAAGATTTTTTCTTTTTCGATATGTTCGAGAATGTGCAAGGGCAACATTATTTACATGCTCGCATATAGATTTGAGAGTCGCCTAAAATTAAATAATAAAATATATCTAACGAGAAACAGGATACCTTTAAAAGCATAACTGTTATAGTTAAAGTACCTTGGTATCTAACATAGTTATTATGAACCTTTCTAAACATGGTAGTGTCGCTGTTGTGTTTGGGAGTATGGTTTGGCGGAGTCTCCCAAATCGCATTATATTTGTGGCCTTGCAGTCCATGCCGTACATCTCGTGGGTCCACCTTAGTCATACAAAATTAAACAAACTAAATAGTTAGACACATGCTTGCAAACTCATCACCGCATTTATCACAATTGTACTTACCCCCATGACTGCATACCAATCACGTAAGTCTTGTGAAGCTCATCATCCGGCGCATTCGAATTAGAGCGAAAAAACTGGAAGACGATATCACGAAGGGCCACCGCCAGATCCATGCGATCCATGAAGATCTTTTTTCTATGTGTTTCGGGAAGCCCGCCACTCCTAAGACCAATCAGAGCTTCGACGCTATTAATGCTATTTTTTAGTGTCCCTCGAAAGTCACATTTTTGCCCTACACGGGCACGGAGAACAACAGACCGGCCAACGTTACGCCGTTGAGCTGAAGCCCAACAAGCAATTTCGCCGCTATAATCATAAAGGATTATAATGAATACGATAGAAATGGAACATCGACTATGTTTGTACATACACGTCCATCTTGAGTTCCTTTAAGTCAAGGAGTTTCCTTATGAGCATGTTTGTAAACATATTATCGAACGACGCTTCAGAGACTGGAACATCAACACCACGTAAATTTTCGGCACTGCGGAGAAATGTGGTTATTAGCATGGGCAATGTAAAACAAAATTTAATTGAACAATTCCTATAACACTGCACATACTATGCCGTGATAGCGCGTCGAATAACAACTATATTTTCTCGGTCTTCAGAACTAAGCACAATATTGTATGTTTTTTCGATTGCCTTTGGAGATATCTGCTCGATTGCTGTGACAATATCACTCGCTTGAGCCTTGACAACCTGAAAGTATGGGTCTGACATTAAGTTTGACTGCGATCTACTCTTATTAAGCAAATTATAATCTCCTACCTTCTCAAGCTCGTCAAAGAAGTATAGTGTGCCATCTGAGATTTCTGACTCTACTAGCTGAACTTCTTGTTCAAAGCTGCTCAACATTTCTGTCCAATCCTCAGTTGAAAATAGGCACCTTATTGCAGAATTATCACCCGTGAGGTCCAGGATATTCCAGTATGCTGGACTGCAAACAATTTGCAATCAATAAATAACCATAAGAAATTATTGCAAGGATGCATGCAAATGATAATGAACAACTTACTCAAAACACTTCTGAGAATTTGGGATGGTCTTCACATACTCTGCAAGGACAGAGCTGACATTTGTCCCACTTTGCAAGATCCACAGCCTTTGAGGGCTTGATTTTGGCTCATCTTCAACACGCTCTATGTATCCATTATCAATGTGGTCACTGACTTTGTCATAATCATTACTATATTCAATCTCATCAGCATTGAGTTTGCTATTATATTCAGTGCCACTGCTGCCAGTGTTGCCACCTTCACGATCATGATCCAGGGAAGAAACACATTTAGTATCTGGTGTGTCTGATTGTTTGCTCAGAGATTTTGACATCTGGTTGACAAGTATGTCTCCTTGTTGGTCAGTTGCAGCATCAATTACTACCAATGCAGTGAGCTGTGCATTTGCCTGAACATCTGACTGTTGTGATAATAGGTTAGCATGAAACCGACTTTAGGTAGAAGTATCCATTATACCTGTTTTGCTTTAATTCTTTTGTTCTTTTCATAAGAGTTCCAAAATTCCGTGACGTCAAGCGTGGGTTTCTTCGACAGAATAAAAGTGAATTAATAACATTATTAAAAACTTTTTTGGTGTGTTGCTTGGTGCAGTTCGCCGGAGCTCACTATCTTTTTTTTTGCACCAGGACGGCACCCATACTGAGTTGAGGGACGGTACCTCCCCTCAGCGGTGCAATAAGATGTATGAGCCCACAAAAATTATGCGAGGACGACACCCACACTCCTGTTAGGGACGGAACCTCCCAGGAGTTGCATAGATTTTGCTGTCAACGATGCAGAGATTCACGTGTGCTGTACAGTGTATGGGTTTACAAACCTTTGAGATTAGATCTGAGGCAACTCTACGTCGTTCTTCGTCCACATCGTGCGCTTTGATATCTTTGAGGTAATTTAGGAAACGCTTTCGCCAAGTTGCTCTTAATACAGCGACCGAAGCGTTTAAATTGAAGTCACACCGCACGGCAGTTAAAAAACCATGATACGCCCATTCGTCGATAGGGGCCGTATCGAAGTACTGAGTAACTGAGGCTAAACGCGATAATTCATACGTGTAAGACCGAGTTTATCGCGCGCTTTGAGAGGGACCAAACGTACCATGGTGATGCACCCTTTTATCGTTGATTTTACCCCGAGCCATAGGCGAGACACAGTTAATATATTAGACACAGTAATATGACGTAGACAATAGAAGCAACCGTTCGCGTTATCTACAATTTTCGATCTGCGAAAGACTAGTCATCCCTCCTTTAAAACATGCAATTTTATTGGTTAATAAATCCGGTTAACGTTTATATTTAGTATTAGCCTTTCCTACGGGTTAAAATAACCTTTGATTGAATTCTCTCATTACCTTTTAGCCAATAATAAGCTGATTTCCAAAACAGATTGGATCGATGACGGTGAGAACACACATAATAAATCACTCGCATTCCATTTACCAGATAGCTATTTAATGTGTATAATAAATAGTTTTCACACTCTATTACATGCTTTGTACTCTTAAATAAAGTAAACTGAATATACTATACATACTGACATAAGTTACATAATAAATAAAGGTGGTGCGCCAGCATATCGTTTTGATCTTGACCCGCAATCTGCCACGCGTCAGCGAATGACTGTCTCGATGACGGACGAGTAATACAATTAGTAACACGAATAATATGAGCAACAACGCTAGTATGTCGTTTGAATTGCATAACAGACAGTAGGCTATGCAAATGGTCTAGCGGCCTTGCTGAGCATTACTTCTTATTATTTACCTTTGAACATGACATCAAGAGCTTTCTTATCCAAATTTTAGAATTATGACGACTACAAAAGCGAGTCACTTTTTCCCCTTGACAATTATGTTTGCCTCACCCAACAACAAAACGTCTTATCGCAACTCTAATGGCCCCTTTCTATACGCTATCTTCCATTTAATGCGATGTAAAAAATACAAAGAACATCTGGTCAAGGCCAAGTTAGAGAGAAACTCTGTTTATACCGGAAATGTATATACCGGAATCTCACGGACAGATTCTTGCGCACTGTTTGTTTCATATGAAAATTCTTTGTTTATACCGAAGTCTCTTATAAACTTTCCATATACGGGATCCGGAAGGACACAGAGAGCTATGCCAACCCGTTCGGTATAAACAGAGTTGACTGTATTACAACAAAAATACGAATTATCTTGTGACGGGAGGTAAAGCTGATTATTGTAGCATAGACGCTACTGCTCATTACAGTTATGATTGAGCACAAAATGTTCACGTTCTGTATTCCGATCAGCAGGTAAGTAAGATTTATTATCTCAGTCCGCGCAAAGTACATTTATTTGGTATTCAAAATAATGCAGTACGCGAACAAATTAATTACGTTCTCGATGAAGACGAAATTATCGGCAAAGGCACTGAGCATATTTGATGGAATTAAGAGACTGAATAAAGGTGAAAAATATTTAAAGATTACTTGTGATAATGCAGGAGATCAGAATAAAAATAATGCTACCATTTAATTTTATCTGTATTTAGAATTACAAAAGTATTGAATTGAATTTTATTTTTGGATTAATTAAAAAACTCTATAGAAAAACAGTGGTAGATTGTGTGAATCATATTGTTGAAGTTGTGAAAAAATTGAGCACTGCTGGATTAAACAAAGCCCAGTGTTATGACAATGGGAAAGGCTTCCAATACTTAGATCTTACTTCTGTGTTGGGAATTTTCTTCAATATCAATAAATTAAATGGTTTGCAAAAATATCAGCATTTTCTTTTTGAAGCAGCTAACCCTGGAGTTGTCAAAGTCCAACTGGTTGCTAATGGCACTTATACAGAATATAATTTATTGAAAACCAGAAAAGTAAGTGTTTCTGAAATTACCAAAGAAATCAAATTCTTTTCCATTCTAGTACTAATACTAATCCCACCTCCTTTGGATTACAAAAGGCAAAAATACCTTTATCATAATATTCGTCCATTTGTTAGACAATTCAAATATATTACTTGTCCACGACAAATTTATACTGGAATGAATAAATTCTCTCCATTACTTCATCACTGTCATTAAGTTCTCCATCTAATTTTTCAATGAATTTCGCTAGCTTTTCCTGCTTTTAATTTTAAAGCTTAAAATAATTATATACTGTACTTCATATACCTCATAAAAAAATAAGTATATAAACAGAATAAAAGAAAAGCATGGTAAACATAATAATAATATCAGTGCTCGAACAGAGAAATAAAAAATTTTTAGAAGAAAACGAAACAATTAGCAGATAAAAAGAGAACTTTAAATAAAAGCGGCTCACTGCCTTACTGAAAACTTAGAATATACTGGTACTGCTTAGAAAGGTTGATAATTGTTGAGTAATCGTTCAAGAAAAAGACGGAGTTAAGTACTCCGGAAATATTGTTAAAAGTTTTGCTAAGGAAGCATAAAATTATGAAAAATTTTTTAGTTTTACTTACTGAGAAAAAAAGAATTAGAAGCAAGGATAGAAGAGTTAGAGGATAAAGTTGGAGCAAGAAAAGGCTGAAAAGGTACTGAATGCAGCTATGAGGTTGTCAACGCCGGAAGACCACACGAACGCTCTCTCACGTGTGGCGATCCGACAAGGTGAAGAAAGTGCCAAATGTCTGAAGCACAATGCTGCAATGGGTAAACTTATAGATCGAATAAGTGATTGAAAAATAGTTTGTTAAATAAAGATCAAGAAATAAGCAGAAGAGATTATTTAGCAACCAAAGAATCACCAGTTTTACCTAAAAAATTAGCAAGTAAAGCCAAAGAAAGCTAAGGAGAAATCCGAAATTTTATTATTCAAAAGAATAAGTAAATCATATGAGATTAGAATATAGAATTCTGGGATAGTAAGCATCGAAAGGAACATTTACTAACACAGTGATTGATAAACCAATACCCACAGGAGTCATGCAATGAATTTCTTTGCATTAATGTCCATAGTAATAGTTGGCATTAGAGCAATGCATAGTATCAATGGATCCATCACTGGTGTTCAAGAAAAATGGCACCAGGAATCATCATCCATGGTCTAGCAACTAATATAATAATAAAGCTTGGACAACAACATCTTGCGTTATAAACTTGATTAATTAAAACCCCCCCTCTTTGGTGGGTAGAAAAAAAAATTAATTATTCTTTTAAAACATTATTGGTTAGATACAGAGCGCCTGCGCTAGTGATACCACAAAAATTATTGGGGAACTAGAAAAACTAATATGGCAAATTGGGGTACAATGGAATTTCTCTAAATCAAATGCGTTCCAGCAATTTTCAGCGAAATGCGTACTGGAAAGACCCCGAGTCGGGTTCCGTCACTTGTCTCAAACCAATTAAACAATTTTCGGTTCAATAAATAATTATTGGCTCTCGTTCCTCAATTATAATTAAGAGTAATAGATCAACGGATAATTTATACAGCTTAATTGAGCTGTTTTTGCAACTTGAGTGAGCCGTTTATTAATATCTGGTCAAATAAATAATATTTCAACAATGAAAGAAAGTAAAGTTTCGATTTCAAAGGGAATCGTTTATTTGATTATTATTCCATGGAGTGGGAATTATTGTTCTAATACTAATAACCCGAACAATAATTTACAACATGAACAATATTTACCACATATACAACATTAACAACATGAGAATATAAGGGCCGCTTATATAACTAGCGATTACCAAAAATTGAAACAAAAGGTATCAGCACAGAAAATTTCCAAGAACCAATAGATTCTAAGTTACTAGTGGCGCTACTGACGCTCAAAATATGTAACATACTAATACTAATACCTGCATTTGCATATGTATTCGTTGGTAGATGATAAACGAGATCTGCTATCCTCCTTTTGACCTCTTCAATTTCAATTTATGACGAAGTCTATCGAACAGGTAACCAGGTAGTATGTAGCACAAACTTCCGCTTATATAATTTAGATCACATCTGTACATTATTATTATGTGAAGTAAAGTGATAATATTTGGGTAAAAACCGTTACCAATTCTCTTATCCGAATTTTACAGTATTAGTATATACAGGGACTCGCAGTCGCAGAAAATAGATCTACTAAGTCCCATGCTCGGGACCGCTCAAAAGAGGTTCGACTGTATTATTATGTGACATCATGATAAGAACGTGTGCTATGAACGCCCAATCATAGTTAATCAAGTTTGGTTTGAGAATACATGACGTGATTGATTAACAAAGTTAACATCGAAATACCACCAATAATTACTCGAGTTGTGTGATCCGCTAGCGACCGCTTCTCACATAATGGCAACGGTAGAGTCCCCGCAAGTAACTTTCAGACAGACTTTAAACTATGTTAGCATTATTTACCACATACCAAATATCGAAAAGGATGATATTCACGTAGAGTTTCAAGCTGAATCAGTTGAGTAAAATGTGTAAGTAATAATCATGCTTTGCTCTCTTTGTTATTAACAAAAATCTGCTTTATCATCGTCACCCCTCATTTATCAGACGACTATCACACTTTCCAGTACGTCAACTTCGTATACAATACATCATAATAAGATCGATGTATCTGCAAATTCATACTCGGTCTCACCATCAAACGTGGTCGTTGTACTCAAGAAATCAGACAAAATAGAATGGCAATCTCTTAAATTCATACATAATGATATAGAAGAAGAGAAATACTTTCTGACTGTAGATAATATACAAAAATGTAAACAGAAGACTGAGAATGAATCAACCTGGGTAATAATATCATTAATGACAGTACTACTGCAATGTTGAGTCCGTAATATGACTCACATATAGTATGATCACTATTCTATCTCCAGACACAACATGGTACTCTCCCTCAGATTACCTCTATGCAAGCCTTCAAAAACCAGGATGGGATTATCATACAAATGACGACCAAACCAACGCCAGAGAAACCTCCAATGCACACCCAATAAGTAGAGACCGTTTATATTCTATAAGGTGTTATAATATCATTGATCTGTTGTGGAGTCAATTCTGTCTTGAACTGCTCGGCCTTAACATCAGTATCGACATCGACTACGCTATCTAATTCTTTCCGTATTATCTTAACTGCACTTATCCATGTTTCGTATTCTTTAGATTCACCATATGTAACTACTCGAAATGGAATGTCGCCGGTTGTAATTCCTAACAACCGCATTGCACGGAACTGTTCACGCAGTCGTGATTGAATTGTCTGCGTCAATCAGGAGTAGATTTATGTTGGGTAAAAAGTTAGTATGATTGATTGAAATAAGAAACGGAAATAAAATGGATCAAACACATTAAAGATGTCAAGTACGTTCGAGTACATATATATGGCGTACGCTACGCTTTACCAACTCAACGTACATCAAGCAAATCTCTCAATTTTGCAACCAATTCTTCAAAAGCTTTAAGCTGCTGCTTTTCAGTTGCCTTGCCGTCTGCTGCGGTTGAAGTAGAAGAAGATGCCGCATTTTCATTGGTTTCTCCTTGCCCCTTTAATGCTAAACCCATGATGGCTTGTCCAGCAGTGCGCAGTACTTCAACTATCATCTACAAGTAATTCGAATTCAATAACCGTTCCGGATCGCGGTCTATTGAAATGCAGCCACAACAAGACAATAATTGAAACATTACTTTCTCAGTCTCTTCTATTTCTCGTATCCTTCTCGCACTTTCAGATTCAAGACTCTCATTGCGTGGTACCGTCTCGTTATCAGTATCCATTGGAGAACCTGTCTTAACAACTAGGGGCATCATCCGTTATCGCTTCATACTTAATTCATTAAATCACTTTGCAATGTCGAAAATCAGTGAAATTAGTCACTCACTCTCTCCTTCCATATTAATGTAAAAGGAAATGAAGGAAATTTAAATTTATGGACTTGTAAATGCAACCATGGGCCAACTTTTCAGTAACGTGATTTTTGTATGACCACAGATTGTTCTCCCACCAGTTATAAGTTAGATTTTAATCTATCACATTTCATATTTTCAAGAAAATATTCTTTGTCTATGTCCCAGATTTGTATTACTTCAGAACCATAAAGATTCACATCGACTTCTGACCTAGAATGCTAAAGATACAAATTTATTAAAAATACTTACTTTTATAAAATTTCCAAGACATACCTCGAACTTATATTATTATTCGCTGGCTGCAATCTCCTCATTACTATAATCAGGAGTCAGCTTTCTTTCCATATTTAATACTTTAAAGGCTTTCAGGCCTTAAATGTTAATAATGATGATTATAACATCGTTTTTGGCCGGACAAGTCACATGGTAAAATCTTCCTAATTATTGTTTAATTAGTTTTATTAGAGACAAGTGACGTTTACCGACTAGTCGAAATACCAAATCGGTTAGCCCTGTTTAATTTGTAAAAGAATTTCCCTTCGATTCTGCGATAGAATAATAATTGTTGTTATTCTGATCGTAGGCACCCTAGCGCGCATATTAATTATTAGAGAGAAATTTACAAAACAAAACAATTGCTAAAAGGGGCAGGTCTAATGAAAGTCGGCCACCGCTCGACCATAACTGGCTTCCGGCAGATCTCGACAATAAACTAATAAAGGAACGCAAAACTCCTACAATAATTCTGAAGTAATGACTAACTGACTTTCGATAGGTCTAAGCATGACTTATCAACATATTAACGAAAATTTTATAAAAACTTACAAATTCTGCGACCAATAATATTAATATATCGTCCACATACATAATAATAATAATACTATATTGAGCATCTGCTTCGCGATTGATTACACTGTGCATTCGCTTAATCAAACACAACTTGTTTTTAATTATATCCTCTGTACTTTAAACGACTGATCTGCTTGAGCAAAAAAGCAACGTGTTAAGTCGTATATTAGAAATTATTTGCAGCGCGGTTAATGACATGCGTCTTTTCTATTCACCTTTTACAAGGCGCGTTTTTATTTTTCGGTTCAAGTTTTAATATATTACATTACATTGTTGCTCTGATTAAATTGACAATTAGAACTTGCTGCATTTTCAGAGCCGTGAGAAAGCTATTAATATGTACTTCTACTCTTATTAGTTTATTGACGATATAATGTAGACTTAATACTTTTTAAATTGCTGAGTCTATGTTCTATATTATTTTGTATTTTCCAGCAAGAGTCAAATAAGTTGGAATTATTTCCTTTCCGACTAATAGCCGAGTCATCGAATATAGCAGGATAATAAATAGAACAAATAGTGAACTAATGCAGAAATGACTTATCGAAGTGCCAATCTCTAACCAACTCCCATCATCTCTAACTAAATAAAAGAAATTTAACGTCATCACATCCGAAGTCGATATCACCAGCAAACATAAACTAAATGAAGGTAAGCCCAATGCTTTGTTGATGATGTAGACCGCAGATGTGACAATAAAGAATGGAATCAATAGCTTAAGTAGCAACAATGCACCCATGAGAAATGGGTCAAACACTGTTGTCAATCTATATACACTCTGTAAAGAAAAGCTACTCAAACTAGCTACATTACCAGTGCCAAAGAATGCTACCAGCATGAAAAAGAGAAACATTAACGAAATGCGAAGATCTTCCAGTGTCAATGTTCTCTCTTTTCGTAATTCCCATGTTGGTTGTCGCTCCAGATGCAGATGTCGTTCCAAGGCAAGCCATATCCAAAGAGTTATTGAGAATATACAATAGAAGAGTACTTCGTATGAGATGCTCAATATTACAAACAACGGAGCGAACGACAAGTATATCGATATGAGACGATATGCGTAATGTTTAGGGTTAGTTCGTTCGTGAACAAATGGTGTAAGTATCGATATCACTAAAGAAATGATGTTTATAGTAGAGTGTCAGATGGGATACACACTTGGTTTGAATCCATGACAAAATTTCTTCTTGATAGTTTTAAAACTCACCTAGGATAGCCCAGCCGAGATACTTGTTCAAAGTAGGCAATCCGGTCTTTGCACGTAAACTGCTGGCGGTACCATACACAGTTATCATACTCAGTATAACCAGTATTAGCTATTATGCGGACAGTAGTCATCGAATATGTTAAAGTTTGAGCAAGGAACAATATTTCCAATTAATTTAAAAAAAGCATCTGAAGGAACATTACTAACCTGAAAGAGAAAAGTCATGCCAATAACATTTGCGTCTCCTTGCGTTGCCAGACTATGCTTCTGATAATATGCATAGAGGCCAGTTATCATGATAAACAATCCACCAATGAGTCTATGAAAATGTAGTAAGACGAATATCAGTAAAGGCTAATATTATCGTTGAGATCAAGTGTGTTCATACACAATACTCACACCAATGTTATGTCTTCTCCTTTCTCAACAGGTAGCAGCGTGAATACACTACAACACAGGCAGCATAAAACCCATTGGAAAATCCTCTCAGGAACTTCGGTCCACAATGATTTCGGCATTGCCAATGGCCATATGGCAGCGAGTAAGAAACAAATGTTCAAGACGCTCCGATAGAAGTAAGCAAGAACCTATCGTACAACAATTGAAGAGGTGAATTTTATTATTTTATTTTATTTTTTTAAAAAAAGAATAAACAGATACCTCCTTACCAGCATTTGCAAAATCGCTAAATATCCGATAATACATCCAACAATAATCACAGGACTACGTTTTTCAATCGCCAGCTTCCAAACATCAAAAAAAGTTCTACGATCCTTTAAGACTTTGTTCCAAAAGAATATTGGAAATACAACATATGCATAATACGTCGCGGGCATTTCTTGTATATATATTATAGAGAAGAGCAGGAAGAATGCAACACTCGAAACAATGTTTATCTAGTAGTCAGCAATTGGTTAGTCGATTTGCATATTGTAATTTTATAATAAATCACATACAGGCAGACCAGCTGTCAATATACTTACAAGATTTTCATATTGATCCTTTTTAGCGTGTGAGATGCAGAGTACGTATTCTCTGAATACAAAACTTAAACTGTACATTATCCATCCGATATATCCAGCATTGACAATTGATCTTAGGAAAAGCCAATCGTACCTATAAAAACAAAAAGCTTAAATTAGATGGGTATATTAAAGCGTTAAGAACATGATGGTCGATATTCATATTCCACATTGATGTATGTCTTACGTTTGTAAATATCGCAGTCCTTGTAGAGAGAGTTCAATCAGATCTAAGCACAACGCTTCCGCTTCTCCATATTCACCAATATCGATTAGTTCTTCGATGCGAGATATTAGTATTTCTGGTTTGTGAGTAGCATTATTCAAAGGCGCATACGGCTTAAACATTAGTTCTGTCTGTTTCTTGCGTGCTAGTAAATATGATACAAATTAGATTTCTGAATGATAGCTTGTTAAGGTAAGCGCGTCAAAGTCAAACATACCATTTTTGACATTATATTGTTCCAATATTTCCAACGCATTCACATAAATGCTCTTTGCTTTGAAATAGGGCGTGTTGTTTAGATATGCTAACGGTAACTCGCCTACAGAGTTAACAGGATAATTAATACCGATCAACGATGCCTAATGAGTTAAACAAGGTTAACTGTCAACACGAAATTTTCTATAATTACCAAAAAAGGAAGAAAAAGAAAGAAAAAGAAAACAAAAGGAAAATAATTTCTGCAAACATACCATCAAAGGCGCAATGCCCGCTTGAAGAACATCGTTACGCTGAACAGAATTGAGACCCCATGGAGCAGAATAGTCATCGTGACCAGTCGGATGAGAGTAGTTTGGTTTATTGACGCCAGCTCCCCAGGAAATCAGAGGAGTGCGTGTATTATCAGGATGTCCATCGCCATGGTTACCTATAGAAAAGAATAATAAAGTCAGCTTTGATCAATCAAGGGTCAAAATACCCAAGGTCTTTCAACCATACATCATTTTTTACCTCTATTACTCATTCCATGGTCAGCCGTAAAGACATAAGCAGTCTTTTCGTCGTGTTCGTAAAACTCATCCATAAGATTTACAACTTTGCTAACTATATCGTCCACTACTTTGATATTATCCAGATATTCTTGAGAAGATGGGAGATGCGCATGACCATTTGTATCCAGACCCAACAAGTGTAGAAAGAAGACTATACGGTCCTTATGCAATTGGGAGAAGAGAATATCATCGTATTTCGCACGATCAAACAATTTCGTAAACTTCTCAAGAACCCAAAGGTCTAATTCCACGGCATCTAATAAAGGTTAACGAGTCAGAACTTGCTGCAATGACTAGCATAGATACAAAAACAGCCATTTGAAGTTCTGCTTACCTTCAGCAAAGTCTTCGCTCTCGGATGCATACATGAACGTGTCGACACGATTCGGATCTGATGCTCCCTCAGCAAACATAGGCAATATATCTGGAGATCCGAATGACCATGTATGTTCACTCTGATTGAATACAGAGTCGAATTCAACTGGATTCATTTTCCATCCTAAACGAACGTTGTTTTTATATTAGTCGATAAAATCTTTTTGATTTTGATTCGTTATAGACTAACCTTTTGTCACTGCACTAACGTCCTCGTAAAATCCTGCAATAAGAGCTACATGTCCCGGTCTTGATTCTGTAGGTACACGTGTATGAGATATGCCCCATGTTCCATGATTAAGTACAAGATCCCTTAGATATGGTGCGTTTGATTTCATCGTAGCGTCCCTTTGCGGATATAATTGAAACAATTTGTCTGCTCTCAATCCATCAGCTTGCGTAAATCAGACAGAATGACAGTATAATTAGCGCAATCACAAGATTTTGTTATTCGTGGGACTGTTAAGCAATACGTACCAACAACTAGTACAAGCCTCTTAGCGGGTGGTGGTGGCTCTTCCACTCTATGGGGGGCCATCCCATGCACTAAGGGTGATGTGAAATATATGTCGAATATACTCCATATATATACTACATGAAATAACGTTCCTATGAGTAATAGTATGTTCAACTTTGCGGTTATAGCCGTCATCAGCTTGGAAGATGTTTGATCTTTGAACGGAATGTATGAATCGAAACGAAGAAATTGAACTTGGCATATTTAACCTGTTTCACGTGATTAGGATTACCGAATATTAATATTAATATATGTACCCCGGTACTATTCAAGGGGGAGTGATGTGATTGGTCAATTTTACCATATTAAAGCTCATCAGAATTTCTTAGTTAACACAATGGCGCCTCGTAAAAAGAGATACTATAACTGAGAAAAAGCGCCCGAAGTTGGAATGCTTTAGAAAAACTTGCAATCATTTTATATCTGATGAATAATAAATGTTCATACTACTACTAATATATATGTGTAACATGTGACGTACGATGACAAAAATTCTTGAATTGTAATTATACGGTAATGTTTAATAGTACTGTAGTAATAATACGTCTGTGGTTTCCAATTAGGCAACAAGTAATGATGATACAGGTAAACCGTTACAAGAAAGCTATTTCAATCAGACAAGCAATTTCAATGATATACAGTCGACACCTTCCATACAGGAATGCGTGTCAATCGGACAGTTGTAGATCACGTGTCGTAGGACTCGCTGAGATAGATTGACATTGCTGCTGTTTATTATAAGTAAAATGCCGGCTGCTTCACCGTTAGTTCACGTCTGAATTGCTATAGATCAATTCTCCCAAATTTTTTATTATATTATAGAAATTTAAGTTGTCAATACCAATAACCTTCACATATCGCCATCAATTATATGACATAGTGTTAAAATCTGATGAGAATAAACGCATCTCCTTTCCCTTCCAGGTAGTGTCTGAATTCTCGCTTCCATTATCTTTGTTGAAATTGATTTATTCGCGTTTGTCGAGAGACATCCAAAGATTGTGTGTAACCCCATAATTCTGTTGTCAGCATTGTTTCGTTAAAGCTCAGGGTAACCAATCTATAGAACAGCATAGAATTCCATCAGCACAAAAAACGGATGGCAATATATACATGACGCGATTTCTTATCTTTGATATAATGTATTTTAAACGTCACCTTGCTAAGGTCATTCGGAAATTTAAATCATCTTGAGTCATCAATGCATTTCCCGACTTTGCCGCTTCTCGGCGTTGATTCACATAGTGATTTTGAATATGCTGTTAATGATACGATAGTAAAGTAAGTAGTTTGATTATATGTTCTTCATTTTAATTAAATTCGTATCTTACACCGAATACGTCATTATAACTCACCAGTGAGACTTCCTCTGGTATATTGTAATCGGCATATCGCAATACGCTCAAGTACGACCTAAAACTATTAATTAACTCTTCATTCAGTTGGTAAGACTGAGATTGATCTGTGGGAGACAAAGGAATGGTACAATCACACTGATAGTATAAGCAACAAAATGTCAGAATGTCAGTATGTCAGTGACGGAACATAATCGTAGCGTAAATATATACACCGAATACTCACCGGAAGTAATGACCTGGCATTCGACAGAACTATAACTCCAATGTCTGTTTCGTATTGAAAATTGTGAAACGGAAAGGCATAACCTAACTTTTGCTGAGTTAAAATTCCTTCAATAGCCTGAACATTGCGCACACCTAGAATCAATCGTTCAAAAGCAATGTGTCACTGATGACTTTAATTATCATATCAGTGTCTTAAATATCCATTTGCATAACATCCCACATGATTACAGCTTCACAAAGACCCATTCATTTGCCTTACCACCTTCGTACTTACCACTTTCCCCAAGTTTTCCTTCCTGTAACACGGTCTCATCAATCAACAGCCGCGTCCCTTCAGCCACTTGCAATACACCACTCTCCAAAAAGCCATCATCAGCATCGAGATTTCGAGGATACATGAACACGTTATTCAGTATTTCCAAAGTCAAAGGAAGATCATGGTAAAGAGGAAGGAGGGAAGAAAGCAATGCGGAGACGGTTGAGGAGAAGTATGGTTTGTGGGTTAGAATGATTGGAGTAGATGAAGGAGAGTTTGAAGAGAGCTGAGTGTGCGATGACATCGGTGAGTTCGTCGCCGATGAGCTAATGTTAGTTATGTTTAAAGAAAATTTTCCAAGTATCAAACCACTTCTTCGAGAATGACTGTTCAATAAGAATTCAGTTACATGTATTAGTGGATTATATTTCATAATAATTGATACAACTAAACTTTCGATCTAGTTGGTATCACCAAATTAAATGGGTTACTACTTACACTCTAGATAATAACTGGAGTAATAGAAATTCAGCAACCAACTCATCACCACAAAATACACTGGCAATATATCGAATTAATTCTCTTCGTATTTCGCGCGCGTTTTCCCTGACAATTCGTTCAACTAAGGAAAAAGGTTTTCGTCAAGTACTTCTTTCAGCAATTCATATGCGAAATCCATCCTTCTTGATTGACACTTACTACTGGGATTACGCAACAATGGATTTCCACTTGGATGAATCTTACGGAAAAATATTGAATGGATGCATGGCACGGAAAGTAATGCTAGCGGGTCGACGAAGCCATCTCCGTCAGCATCGGCATTTGGAGGTGGTCTGTATGAAGATGGCGTGAGAGCAAATAATTGAGCAATATCAAAAATGAATGGACAGAATTATGTAATACCTGTGTTCTTCAAGTACTCCGACGAATTCTACCACGTCAGTAACTTTTATTGACACATCTTTTTCGTAAATCTGCAGTCATATATCGTGAGAGTCGACCGGATTACCGGCAAAATCAATTAATGCATCATGTGTTCGTCTCGACTGACCTTGACAACAACGCCAATATGCTTCTCATTGGGAAATGGATATTTTGAATCGATGCGCTTTTTTCTTTTGTCAATGTCAGTATTGTTAATAGATAAAGAAGCTGTTTGCCATGTCAATCCTACAGTAATTAGACGTTTGTCATGAATTGAGTAAATTCAAACAATTAACTTCAATAAAGATACTGCCTAATATCACCTTCTATGGAATCTTGTGTGCCTGTGCCTTGGTGATATTCAGATCTGAAACCGTGCTATACACAATAACGTGCAGTTAAGAATAACGATCATCAAGAAGACACCTAATAGTAACCATCACTTCAATAGAAAAGGATATTTTTCTTGCCCATTCTGTCTCACCGGGTACGGAGGTAACGTAAAAGGAACATTTCTCGTCAAAATGGCTGTTCTGTTGTTCCAGGTTTGGGTCTAGTCTCTGTTCCTATACATAGTAGATGATAAATATACGTTAAACCAGAGCATTGACTAAAGGCAAAAGTGTAACAATTGATATCGGTTGACCACAAATATGAGAATGACGTCGTCCTAATGGTATACATATTTCTTAACCTCCGCCCTGACAACCTGATTCTATCACTTGTGATAACTTACTTCATCGTTATAATCCTGGTACCGATGCAATTTCCAAGTCTGCAAAAGCAAATTACAAATACAAATCATTAACTAACACTTGACTATCGCGATCGCCTATTACTATTCTAACTTGTTTTTCACGCTTCAAGTATACGTGGCAATAACGGATAGATAGATCTCCACTAACACCTGATCACCATTCCGGTCGAGCGATTCATGTACAGGAGCATATAATTCAACGGCGAGAAAAGTATTTTGTATCATTCCTCTAAAGCGAACGAGAGTATTGGGCTGAATTTGGTCGACGGGAATATCATTTAGAGAAGGTATCTGTGGGATAAACACGATGTAATTTGCCGCGAGAGTAAAGAAGGAGTTGAGAAAGGGAAAAGAGAGCAGCTGTTAAAATCTTATGCATTAACAATATTCCCTTGTTATAGATGGTAGTGTATCAATGTGTTCTCAATTATCTAATACTTGTCATTACGTAAACGTACATACTTTGTAAATATCATTTTCATTCTCAAAAACACTTTGGAAATACTCGGGAATCCCGAACTGGTTCTCACAATTTTCTCGATTCGGATTCCAGTTCTGCTCTATAACGCGTATTCCATAAAACAAGATGTCAGTATATGACTTTGTATGTAAGCTTTATTTCTCAATAATGTTGTGTATTTCAGATACCAAAGATGAGCTGAGCTATATCCAGTGGACGTTCTATGCAGTCTCCTAGAGAGAACATTTTTTTTTGGTATCGGGAACAGGGTAAGAAACGCGTAAATTTGAGTTGGACATTCAGTATGTCGATCCTCAGGTGATAAATGGCATTCTATTGGCGCAAGGTAGAATATTGCGTTACTTGGCGTATGAGAGAACTTCTACAATCATCATTGTATCATTCGACAATCCGGAACAAGATGTGAATATTAATGTGGTGAAATGAAACTAAGTACGCCTCAAAGGTGATATAATGGAACAAAAACAAACTACCATAGTTGTTTGAATATGAAGAAAATTTGTTAATCAAAATAAAAATTCTCATTCTTCCTGATTATAATAATAAGACCATTTTGACAGGTTGCCAACATTTACCATTGATTTAAAAGATAAGATTGTCAAAAGTGCTCAAGAATATCAACAAGCACATGCCAAGCAACTACGCAATTAGATAAAAACCGTAAGACGGATGGGCAAGGTACGTGGCTTATGAATAGTAAGGTTATTAGATTTCTCGAGCAATAAACTGGACGCCATAACCTAATAGGAAAGGGCAAACATAAAAGGCCACCTTTTATCAATTTTGGAGGCTTTGCGATATATAGCAGATTGTTGTCCTCATTGGATTACCTTCCAGAGAATTGTTCTTTCACTAAGGTAAAAAAGATTCACTTTCCTTGTAACCTTTTCTCCCAAAAAGTGTTATCTCTTGTAGAAAGTGTTACTTGGCATAAAAATCACCCAGTACACTATTAGCCAACGGTTAGCTAGACGACATTATAATAAATGTGGTAATAAAAACTCGTAAATTCCGATCAACCTACAGATATAAATAGGTACCATTACTGATTATTAATATTATATGCCGTGTGTTACAACCATTTTCATTCTACCGTCTTGTATCACTTATTATTATGTAATGTTTACTTTAGATGAAGTTATCTTTGGTAATAAAGTCGTACAAATATCGAAGTTATCTTTATACTTGGCTACTGTTCGTCTTAAGGAACTGCGCGAAACTGTTCTGGAAATAATAACATATCATTTCCACCTTCATCCATTGATACCAAACGATGCAAACCAATAGCTTTCGGGCGATGAAATTTGCAAACGAAATGTATCGATTCTGTGTCGAAAATGACCTAAAAAATTTATGGGCCTATATGTGGACGAATTGGTACCAAAAAAATCGCTATGGGCTCGAGCAGCAAATTCCGGAAAAAATATGTTAAAACAACCATGTTAATTGAGGCACACTGGGAAGTTGGAAAGAGAGATTTCTTGCCAAGATTTTTCCATCCTCGACTCGATTTGGTAATATGTTATTATAATGCGGCTTCTCCCACACTACCGACGACGACATTATCAAATAACATCTGGTCGAGAGACAGTTGCATGGCGAAAAGACTTCAAGATAGGCATAAGGTGAACACACACATAACTGATGTCAGTAGTTCGTCAAGAAGTTTGTCCATTTTTAAACATCCAAGTTTACAACCTGAAGATGATATAAATAACAATACTGAAGGGAATTTTTACTTGTTTTATTAAAGTAAATTACCCCGCATATATATTTCAAGTAGATTCCTCTCCGCATATTTTCGATATTTTGGATGAAAGTAATCTAGAGGTAGAAGGTGAACGACCCTTTGATGAACAGCATACTGCAAGAAATTATCAATGGGTTAGAATGTTAATGGCAAATAGTGGGTTTAATGGATCGTAGAAGACATAAATAGATAGTCGGCATAACACCAATGCTCGAACGTGGAGGGATCATAATCAAAACACTTTATATCATTAGTTTGCACAGTATTGTAACTATTGCTATCATGCTGAATTGTGATTTCCAAAATAGTGTTAGGAAATGAGAGCGTTCCCAAATTTGGATTCTTGTAAAATTTGTCCCAATATGGATATACAAACTGCATTTTCGTTGGTCAGCATTGATCGAAAATCACGTTACTGTACGATTAGTCTGGTGCCCTAGGGTAGTTCTCTGCTTTTTAAAAGTCCTTCGCGATAATAGTTCTCTGCTTTGTCAGTATACAAGATTTTCCATGTCAAAAGATCTTTGCAATACCCCTTTGGCCGGCGAGGATTTGACATGTGATTTCATCCCTTCATGGTAATTCATATTATCCGGACCAGTCGGAGAATTTCTGATGACAAAATCATGTCCAGATGTTTATGGTGATAGTAATGCTGGGTTTCGGCTATGGATAAACGGTTAGGAATAAGTAAATATTTTAATATAAATAAACATCGAGAATTGTATTGAAAGGCCTAAAATTTTCACAATGTCTCACGCTCAACAATCCCTCGCTTCTCTTCCTTTGGCTTCTCTAAACTATATCCTTCCAAAGCCATTAGCATTTCTTGTCATAGCGGCGACATTATCGTTGTTAACAAATGTTGTGACTAGACAACCGTCTTCGAAATCGTCTTCTCAATTAGAATCAGCACTCCAATCCCTTCAAATTGTTCAAACACTCCGCTCAAACTCATCTTATACAGAACTTAAACGGGGATATTCTATGCTTAGTGACGAGGAAAGGAAAAGTCATCTTACCGCCGGATCGTTGTCAGGGAATGGTAAATTAGCGATTGAGCCTCTGGTATTTAAAAGGAAGGAAGGACTTCAAGATGAAGTGGGTGAAGAGATTATTGTTATCTATCATTTGGGAAAAAAGTTATGTGGCCATCAGGACATTGTACATGGTAAGCTGACATTGATTGCTGCTTAGCAGACGATTTGGAAAACTGAAACTGTTTATATTAATCTTTAGGTGGAATGCTAGCAACAGTAATGGATGAGTGTCTCGCTTTTACAGTAAGTTGGTTTTTAATTTAACCAGTGAAAATTCTTATGCTGTTCATTCTACGTTACCTCATCTGATTAATATTAAATATTTCCATTCCCTAACCTGCTAGACAATTCCCAATCTTCCAGATAAGAATGGTGCGACTGCTTACTTACATATCAACTACCGTCAACCGTGTGTATCCGGTCAGTTTGTTGTGATCAAATGTGCAGTCACTAAGCTTGAAAGACGAAAGGGATTCGTTGAAGGAAAGATGGAAACCATCAATGGCAACACTATCGTAGATGCGAATGCACTGTTCATTAGTATAAAAAAGTTGAATGGTGATAAATAGAGGGAGTCGACAGATTTGGACGAATTGAATTGTAACAATATTTTATGTAACCCTTAATAATTTACGCATTAGTATTAGTATGCAATGTAATTTTTATAATAATGGAATCGATGTTTTTAACAGTTTCTTGTTTTGCAATTCCGTGGTTTATAGAAAACGTCGCTTGGCCGAGCAAAGCATGATGGCTTTAGTTCTCAATTTGTACATCTGAAACACGCTTGTTTCATGGCGTTTATCAATCTAAAATTACTACCGCGAGGTATTGCGCAATTGTGAAAATAAGGATAGCTCACATTACATAATTAGACAAACAAATCCATGGAATCAACCCGGTATTTGTTTATTAAAGATGACGATCCAACTGGTATATACTATAGGATGTCTAGTAGTAAAGCTGGTTAAAAAGTCCCTCGCGATAGTAAAGCCGGTTATCGTGACGCTTTTACTCCTTCTTGCCAAGAAAATGGTCTAAACAGACGTTGCAGTAAACGATGCTTAGACTTGTAAAGCGACAATCTACGGCATTTAATTCTTTGTTATGCATATTATGATTAGCAGGGTATTCGCATGTGAATATCTGCATTCTTATCTCTAAATGAGACATTTTATAGCCATTATCGTTGCCTAACAAACAATGGGTTTACATCAGATATTAATATTAATGTCCACTAGTCTCATCCACAATCCAAAGCATGCATGCGGTTTGCAGAACAAGGTCTTGTTGCTAGATTGTCCATGGATTGTCAGTGTGACGTTGGTATTAACACGTGGGTTTCAGATGAGTTATAATAACCATTTTAGCATTTACAACTGCACATCCAACTCTGACTTTAGCCTTTCGCCCCCCCAACAAATATTGTTTGTTGGGGCAAAGATGAATCCCTATAAGTACTAAATAAAAATATACATGCGTATTTACTATAGCATTATATAAACATCGCTTCTAAAGAGGGATTACTAGAATACCTCGTCGTTCCATCCAAACAATACACAGGATCAACGATGTCGCTTCAATCTCGAATCGATGCTTTGCTCGAGTCTTTCGGCCCTCCACCTCCTCCTCCGCGAGGCATACCCTTCCCTCAGCTCTACCCTATTGTGATGGACTGGCGATTTCCTCTTTCTGTTGCTGTTGCATATATTCTCTCCATTCTCGCTCTCAATCCAAAATCATCCGCTGTTTCACGTGTGGTAGCCAAATCAAAAGGATTAAACACAGCATACACAAGCAAGCAAAGTGGAAAACGAATGACTGCATTCGTTTTCGTACACAATGCATTCTTGTTTTTGTATTCTGGGATCACGTTTTATAATTCCTTTGGTGCGCTTTCCAAACGACATAGAACGGCCGAAAGCTGGACTGAGGCATTCTGCGATCACGGAAAGGTTTGCTGGAACGAAGCATTTGGCTATTGGGCATATTTGTTCTATCTTTCAAAATGTGAGTGTAGAGTACATTAAAGAGAAACGTACTGACATCACGCTTGTAATAACGAATGTCTACTTTGCCCATTTGTTGCATTCTCATTTATTTGTCCAGATTACGAGATAGTCGATACAATCATAATCCTCGCTAAGGGTCGTCGTTCTTCCTTCCTTCAGTCATACCACCACGCGGGAGCCATAATCACAATGTGGATAGCTACAAAATATGCAACGCCTGCAGTTTGGATTTTCGTTCTATTCAACTCGTTTATCCACACAATCATGTACTTTTACTACGCACTCACCTCAGTTGGATTCTCTCCACCTGGGAAACAGTACTTGACAACGGCTCAGATTCTGCAATTCGCAGTTGGAAGTACGATTTCGTTTCTGTATTTTGTCATACCTGGATGTATGAGTGCTGGTCAAAGGTTCAGTGCGGTCGTGACCCTACTTTATATCGGTCCGTTGCTTTATCTGTTCTTTGATTTTGCACTTAGAACTTACGGAAAGGGTAAGAGATTCAGTAAAGCAGATGCCAAGACAGCTGTTAATGGAAAGGTTATGAGCAATGGCATGAGCAATGGCATGAGTAATGGCAAGAGCAATGGCATGAGTAATGGCAAGAGCAATGGCATGAGTAATGGCATGACTAATAGAAGAAGTATTTTTAATGCTAATCGTATGTTTAGTTGGTAATGATAATAGATGGTTGTTGATGTAATTTGAAGGTACACCCTTTTTCATGAATAATAATAAAAGTACTAAATTATGATGCTTGTCCTTGTAATTAGACTGGATCAATTTGACTGAATCGACCGTTGTTTCCAAAATAGTTTGTGTGTAGCGTAATGCGCCTTTCCCGACAACTCAAATTTAAACTTTAAGGTTTAAAATCAACGACGTTGTTGATATTTATTTGAATGATTCCACCTGTTTGATGTTATCGATGACAGCCTTTGCTGACATTCCCAAATGAAAGTAGGCCAAAGTAAAAGTGTGTGCATAGAGTAGGTTTAAAATTAGAAGACTCATGAAATATATAATTTTAATGTGGTATTCCCTCCGCAGAAGTAATAGGTAGAGACAACTCAAAACAGAATAAAGAACACAATTTAATTGGTCTTGAACGACAGTCGCTCCGAACACATTTTCGGTTAAAAAATCCATTTAAACATAATTCCTCGTCGCCAAAAGTTCGGCATTTGGCTTTTACGCACCACGTATCACAGAGATGCTGTGGTCTTTTGGCTTGTACATTACTGATTACGGTAAGACGTTGAAATAATATTATTCAAAAAGGGAGATAAGTTATTTTCCGTTAGCATTCATGAGCGGATAACATGAGAAGTAATCCGGGTAAGAAAGTCAAAAAGTTTGTAAATTTACGACGCATCTCACATCTCGTTCGCGCTATCTAACAAGGGAAATCATATACAGCTAATCGTATCATCAACAGAACTAAGTAACACCCTCAAATAGTACCCTTACGTTCACAGCACCTCGCGTACAAATCGTTATTCGTGCTTGCTTTTAGCAGCCGTTTCAGATGCTCTCTCGATTATTCAGACAATAGTTGATTAGAGTAAAATGTAATGTAAACGAAGATAAGAAGCATATTGTAGTAATGTTAGAAGATATTAGTGGAAGCAAGGGAAACAAAAGCAAGTTAAATATCGATTGAATTATATGGACGTTTATTATTATTTTATTTGTAATAAAAAATTACCCCTGATGTCATAGTAACGGGGATTAGGGAAGGTGACTGTAAGGGAGGTCAACTGTAGTAAATAATAAAACCCTTTGTAAACGCTTGTCAGAACCATGTTCCAGATCAGGTCCACGGTGAGTTATACACAGTGAAAGTCGATATAACGGACCGTCGATATAACGGATTTTGCCTTATACGGACTTTTTTGCTGGAACGGAATTTTTACTAAGTACTATAGCGGGCTTTTATATTAAACAGTGATATAACGGATTTGCCCGAACACATTTAATTTAGCTTAACGGATTTTGTGTAACGAAGTCCATTATATTCATACTGAAGTCCGCTATATTATAGCGGAGTCCGTTATACACACTTAATATTAAGTATAAGAATAAGATTCTTCGCTACAAATATCTAGCAAATTTACAAATTTAACATAATGTCGACTTATGACCCTATCACGCATTGAACAAAAGAGGCAGACAAATATTGACAAGTTTTTTACATTCGAGTCTTAACTTGAATTTATCGTTAGGTTTTATGCCACATAACCGTGAATAATAAAAGATATGAATATTAAAGACCGTCGTTATAACGGATTTTTTGCAAGTTTAGTTAAGAGTCCGGTATAAAACTCACTGTTCGATGTA